ACCTTACGTACAAGTAAAGAAAAAATCTAGCAGCGTGTATGCATATGGTGAGGTCACCAAGAACTAATATTTTGAGTGACAGGAAGCGTGTTTATCACATTCCCAACTGTCCCTCACTTGTGTCTACACATAGCATCTCTGCAGCATGGGTGTCATGGAGACTGTTGATTGGTAAATGCAAAGAGGGGGAAGTGTTCCAGGAGAAATGGTGGGATGCGCAGGGTCCAGGGACAGGGTGTGTTGTTCTGAGCCCTGGATTTCAGACCTTCTACCTGCCATACACACTCTCCCACAAAGCTTGCTATGGCTTCCCTCCCCCTCTGCCCTCCTCCTTCCTGGATGGAGAGAGAGAGAGAGAGAGAGAGAGAGAGAGAGAGAGAGAGAGAGAGAGGGAGGAGAGAGCTCTCTGCTCAGGTTGGAAAAGCTCTCCAATGAAAGTCATACCATACCTAACAGTTGCTTACCGCATTCATAACTTTTCTCTGTGGTGTGTGTGTGGGGGAGGGAGGGAGGGAGAGAGAGAGAGAGAGAGAGAGAGAGAGAGAGAGAGAATCTTTTCACTTTCTGAGTTCTTTGGACTTTTCAAAGCCTTGGCTGTCACAGAACTTGCTCTGTGGTCCAGGCTGGTGGCTCTGACTCCCAAGAGATCCACCTCCCTCTGCTTCCCAAATGCTGGGATTAAAGACATGAGCTACCATTGTCCAGCTGGCTTCTGAAGTCTTATAAAGCTGCCTTGTTCCCTCCAGGAGGGTATGCTTCAGTTTATTAGACTTTTAAAGCATATTCAAAAGCACTGTCTTATGTAGAAATTTACAGTAATTTGGCTGAAGATACTGTTACTGGGTTCTAAACAGTCAGAGTAGGTGCACCCATCATTCCTCTTAAGATGACAAGCTGCTAAAAGTTTCTACCAGGACCATATGAATACAAGAGGATATTTAGGCAACAATGAATTGTTTTATTGGATTCATATTAATAATAACAAGAACTGTGTTTTTAGTTTATAGTTCTTGTTGGAGATAAATTTTTGGTATGTAGCCTAGAGTTGCCTTAAAATTATGATCCTTATGCGTCAGCTTCCAAAGTTCTGGAGTCATAGAATTTTTTAAAAATTTCAGAAACTTAGCACATTTCCACACTGCAGCTGTCATGGGCATTCTTGCAAAATTTCAAGACAGCGGAGATGTATCACCCTTGTGCAATATTACGGAAGTTGAAATGTTGTTTCTTAAGCTCACATTCAGTTTCTTGGTTAACCCTCAAAAGTTTCTTGTGTAGATCTGATGTTGTGATTCTTTCACAGGAAGGGAAGCAAGCTGCAAAAGTGTCACAGGAGACAGTGACCTAACAGGTGCAGAGGGTGGCCTGTGACAGAAAGGCTACGCTCTTTCTAGTTTACACCATGGAGGATCCTTTAGTTAAGAACAAGTGCTTTCAATGTGTTCATCTCGACAGGCAGCTATCACTTTTGCTCAGCTTTGGTCTATTGCTGATACTTCATTTAAAGGTTGGGTTTGGGTGGTTTGATGGTAAGGCTTTCCCTAAGGATTCTAGATCTTTGAGAGTTTGTGTGTCCTGTTGGTTGGGGAGAACCTGGACTTAGCCACACTCACATTTGAAGGTCAATGCTGCGTACATCTTGATGTCACCTTGGACGAGAGAGCCTCCCTCTTTACCTCATCTGTGAAATATAGGGGTGGTTGCTTACCTCATAGACGCTGTCATGAAGACACTTTCGGCATCGCACATGGGCGTTTGTTACACTATGAAGCCCTGCAGCGGTACTGCCTTTCGTAGACTTCCTGTGTAACAGCACAGTTTGATAAACAAGGGCATGAGGCGAGGAAACTGGGCTGCGGTGCTCAGGATATAGCTGGTGTTACAACCTTTGCCTTGCAGCCTGGGATGTAAGGGACCTGGATTGGCTTTCCAGCATGCGTGCGTCTCACACACACACACACACACACACACACACACACACACACACACACACAGAGAGAGAGAGAGAGAGAGAGAGAGAGAAAGACAGACAGCACCCTGAACAACACCTAGCAAACAAAAAGAAACCAACTACAATTTGCATTCATTACAAATTCCCTTTGCTTTAAAAATGGAAGGTGTTTGATCAGTTGATTTTTTTTTTTTTTTTTTTTTTTTGGCTATAATAAAATCCCTGTCAAAAACATCTTGTAGAAGGATTTAGTCTGGCTCACAGTTTGAGGGTACAGACCCTCACGGTGAGAAGGCATGGAAGAGGAGCAGGAGGCTGCTGTTCATGTCGTGTGTGTAGTCAGGAAGTGGAAATGCATGCTGGGCTCAGTGTTCTCTTCATTCGGGCTTGCTCCTCAGACCGTAGAGTGGCAGCGCCCACATTCAGACTGGCCCTTCCTTTCCAGTGAAAACATCTCAGAAACTCCCCCACATAGAGATCATATTCTCCGGGCCCTGACGGTGGGGAAGGAGGTTGGAGAAAATGCAACAAGTTTGGTTGACATTGCAGAGGTAGAACTAAGCGAATGCTAGTTGGTGTGTTTTAGTCAGTTAGTACCCAAGGGAAGGGGAAGCTACTGGACCACTCTGGGATGGACCGGGTGTGAAGTTCCGTTGGGTATCCGGGTTGAGATGCTTGGGGGTGGGTGTGGAACTCTTCTTTTTTATAATTTATTTATTCTTGTAAATTTCATTTCCATTCCAACCACAGCTCTCCTTCCCACCCCTCCTTCTTGCCCTCTTACCTCTCTCCCCCCTCCCACCCCCAGTCTGCTCCTCCTCACAGGTAAAGGCTCTCTGATTCTTTCAAGTAAAATGTGTAAGGGTATTAGAGGTTAATCATTGAATTCAGCAAGAGTGCCAAATTGAGAAGGGACAGGACCAGAAAGCAAAATTCCCCCAGAGCGTGAATACTTAAGGAGGAAATTGAAAGGACTTGGTGTGCCACGCATGCACATGTTAACATTTGAGACTGAAATAGAAGCATAGGGGTCGTAGGAGCATGGAAGACCTGGGCGGTATCTGATGCTTTGTAGACAACAGATACGGTCAGTGTCAGCTTTGGGGAACTGAGAGATGGCTCCACAGTTACGGGCACATGCTGGTCTTGTAGAGAGCCCTGACTGGTTCAATTGCCAGCACTCCTGATGGCAGTTTACAACTGCTTGTAACCTGAGTTCCAGGGGACCCATCACCCTCGTCTGGCTTAGAGGGTCCCACACATACCCACAGTACACCTACATCTATGTAGGCAAAACACTCATGCATAAAACATTAAAAGTGTAAATTTTGGGGAGTCAATCATTAAGTAATTTAACTGTTAGATTTTTAAGATTCATTCATTCAGTGTGTGTATGTGTTCATATACCATGTTGTGTAGGCCAAAGGACAATTTGTGGGAGGCTTCATCAAGCTGTCAGCTTGATAGCAAGCCCTTTCCTTACTGAGCCATCTCGCTGATGCTAGGCTGTTTTTAATGTGAGGGAGACCATTTTACATGGTATCGTGGGTTAGGATGGCAGAATACACAGAATACACACTGTTGTATCAGTTGGTGTATCTCGCCAGGCTGGTTGTAATTTTAGTTCGAGGCTTCCACAGCTAGAGTGGATTGATTGGTTTCTTTTCTCCTGAGTAGCATGCATAGCACCTTTCAGCACTGTGGAAGCTAGCCAGTAAGGGTGAAGAGTCCAGGTCAATGCCAGTTTTGTTTTAAATTCTGTGACTCAAATATATTATGTCTTCAACAGTAGGGCTTTACTGTCAAGCTCTGTAGCATAACCAAGAGCAATGGCAATATTCTGTCATATTTGAGGGCCTATGTGACCTCACTGGCCAACACTCCAATTGAGGTAAACTATACCTGACGTGGGCCAACATCATCCTAAACAGAGAAAAACAGACAAAACAGTTCTACCAAAATCAGGAATAAGACAAGGACACACACTCCCCCATCTTCTGTTCAACACAGTACTTGATGTCAAGTGATACAAACAGGAACGGAAGAAGTCAAAGTATGTTTGTTTGCAGATGATATGATTCTTAAACATAAAGACTCTGCCAGAAAACTACACTTGATAAACAGATTAAGCAAAGTAGCAGGATACAAAACTAAAGCAAGCAGAAATCAATAGTTTTCCTGTGTTATTGATGGTAAACACGCTGAGAAAAAAAAGTTAGGGAAATAATATCATTAATATTAACGTGAAAGAATTAAAATATCTTGGAATAAATCTAACCAAGGAAGTGCACAACTTCTACAAGAAAATCTGCAGGCACTAAAGAAAGAATTGAAGATGCCAGTAGGTAGAAAGGCTTCCCACGTTCATGGTTTAGTAAGATGCATGTTGAGAAAATCCTAGCAAATGCAGTCTACAGTCAGTGAAATTCCCATCAAAATTTCAATGCAGTTATTCACAGAAATTGAAAAAAGAAACTTCCTCCTTTCCTTTCGGTTTTTCTGTGTAACCCTGGCTGGCATGTTCCAGCATCTTCAGAATGTTTCTCAGAAGCTCTTTGCTCTGTCTCATTCAGCTGATGAGAATTAGAGACAGATAAGGCAGCCCTTAGGCTTTTGTGTTTCTATTAATGTTGTAGGAGAACTATTACCTTTTGTTGTTGTTGTTTGTTGTTCTTTTTTGAGACAGGGTTTCTCTGTGTAACTTTGGATCCTGTCCCGGAACTTGCTCTGTAGACCAGGCTGGTCTCGAACTCGGAGATCTGCTTGTCCCTGCCTCCTGAGCACTGGGATCAAAGGCGTGCACCACCACTGCCTGGCTGCATGAGAACCTGTCTTTGGCTTTGTCAATAAAGGCCAGTAAGGACGGGAACCAGGTCTGTATGGCAGAAGAGCTATTCTTCGGATGTGTGAAGGGCATTGAGTACCTGTCAGTAGACCACTGTTGAAATTTTAAGTGTTTGGTATACATACAGAACTATATATTGAATTTGAATTTGCTGGCAAATGTAAGTTTTCACAACACATCTCCTTGTTCTTTTGTAATGAACAGGAGAGTCCAGTGCACCAGTAGTAAAAAACATTACTTTGGAAAGGCCTTCTGACCTGGAGCTCATGTGCCAGTTCACGGCATCTGGGGACTTGAACTCCGTGAATGTGACTTGGAAAAAAGACAATAAGTTTCTTGAGAATATCGATGCTTTCAACACAACTAAGATGGGAAACACCTTGTCCAGTAAGTACAGGTATGTACACTGCCAGCCATAGCCAGTTTAACTGCACGTTTCTGCTGATTAAGCATTTTTTCCTTTGTGGCAATTTGAATGTTATGCTAATATTCTAATTCTCCTGTTTACAGAATTGTTTTTAAAGTTTTGACTATTGACTTCATTTTTATTAGGTATTTGTGAGAAGTAAGCTTGTATTAATAACTCTTAATTATCTCCAGGTTCATCATTTTTGATAGCAAACAAATGGGAAATTATTCTTGTTTCTTTGATGGAGAAAAGGAGCTCAGAGGAACATTTAATGTCAAAGGTCAGTATTTATAACAGCATTACATCCTTAGGTTTCTATGTCTCTTGTGTTTTACGCAATTACTATAGGAATAAATGTGGTTCAGCTGAAAAGAAAATCATTTACTTTACACTGAGTTCCAAGAGGTAACCTTGAATGTGGTCCAGCCTTTCTCAGCCCATCCCATTCTTTCTTCAATCTTTTCCTTCTACCTCTTAATTTAAATACAGATTTTAGTTCAAAAGGCCAGCTGCCAAGATTTTCATAAATTCTATAAATGTCTAAAATTTATCTGTTAACCCTCTGTTGTGGGATATTACTTTAACTATGTTACGTTCGTTTATGCTGCATTTATTTATGTAAAGGTTTTCATTTCTTTCACCTAATAAATTATGTAAAGATTTTCCTTTGTTTCAGTCTAATAAAAAGTGGAATGGCTAGTAACAGTAGAGGGACTGCTGGGGCTGGCAGGCAGAGAGAATTAAGTAATAGGAGAAATGTAGGCTTGGGAGAGGAAAAGGGGGCATGCCTGGGGTCAGAAGCCAGGCAGTCACTAGCCAGCCAGACACTAGAAACAGGAAAGTAGGACTGAGAGAGGGAGAGAGAGATAGATAGAGAGAGATTGATAGAAAGGGGCTAGCCAGGAAGTGGGTGAGAGGTGGGAGAGGATGGTTGGGGGCAAAAGTAGAGTATAGTAACCTAGGTACAATATAATATCTGTATCCTGTTCACGATGGAACATTGGCGGGCCCAATCTTGAGCGTTTCTGTCGCAGGCCCCCATAAGTCCTGTGCTTTTATGAGTAGAAGGTTGCGTTTTACGGCGTTCCGTCCTAGTCTCTGGCTTTTACATTTTTTCACACCCTCCCCATTTTAGAGGGGGCATTTATTCCTAGAGCCTTGGAGGGGAGGGGTTGATGGAGAAATTTCGAGTCGAGAATGCAAAAAGTCTTTTATTTTCAGTGATTAGCCTCTGCATTAACCAATGTGCATTGTAAAGGGAATCTCTATCGAGGCTGGCAGCAGCGTTGATGTGTGTGTGTAAATGTAGATATTTAGATGGCAGCTTCAAAGTACACACGTACGTGTTCAGCATTGCAATGAGAGGTTCCTCTCCAGGGCCTGTCACCTCTCTCCTAGCCTTGGCTGTCCTGGGACTGGCTCTGTAGACCAGGCTGGCCTTGAACTCACAGAGATCTGCCTGCCTCTGCCTCCCTCCCTAATGCTGGGATTAAAGGCGTGGCTATTATTTGTTTATTTTTGAGACAGGGTCTTGTGTTCTTCCCAGACTGTTCTCAAATTTGCTATGTAGCCAAGGATGATGTTTAACTTATCTTCCTTCTGCAGCTTCCCAAGTGATGACGGGCATGAGCCACCAAGCTTACCACCATCATAGATTTTAACCATCTTTCAGGGCTACAAAAAGCTATTGCATATCTACTGTTAAAATTTGCTTGAAGCAGCTCAACTCATTTGTTTGTAATGCCCACTTAACATTAATGCGATTTTTAAGTATGAACTATGTCCTGAAGACATTCATAAAATTAATAATTTGGGTCCTTTCAGAGATTCCTTGCTAAAAAATAACTCTGTAATTCATTTGAGATTGATTATTGTTTGGTGAAATAATTTTATTTACTTGAGTAGAATTTAAAGGCATCTGTACAACAGTTTATTATTTTACTAGGTTTGTTAGGCTTATGTCATTGTGTATATTTTTATAAATGTTATCTACATGGCTTGCTTAATGGTTTTTCATAGGGAAAATGATCTTTTCTTATCAGTATTACAAATATGGGTAAAAGGCCAGTTTCTTTTTTAAATTTTTAAAAAAAAAAAATTTAAAAGCCAGTTTCATCCTCTGCATTAAATTGAGCCAGATTATTCTTTTTATACTTTTTTCTTTTGAGACAGCATAGTCCTGGCTGTTCTGGAACTCCCTTTATAGACCAGGCTGGCCTCGAACTCTGAGACACCCCTGCCTCTGCCTCCCAGGTGTTGGGACTAAAGGCGTGCGCCACCACAGTCCTGGTATTCATTTATTTTCCTTTTTCTCCTTTTTGATTACTTTTATCATAAACTGCATGAGTCAAGCCTGGCTCATGAGCATAAGCCCTTGGAACAGTTTACTCTGCTTCTTTTGCTCTTAGGTTAATGTGGCGCTGGAAAGGAGTCTTTCTGTACCCTGCTAGCCAGCTCCCAAATAATGACTTCTCATTAGTCTTGAGAGCTTCACCTACAGCTTAGGCGTGTAGTTGGTTGTTTTCTACTCTTTGGCTCTTTTAGCATTATTTAGCTTCTTTCCTCCATTGCCTGATCTAACTTGGTGCATTTTCTTGATGGGTGGTTGATGTGGAAGGGGCCAGTTCACTGTTGTTCGGGAGTTCTCAACCTGTGGGTCAAGACTCCTTCGGGAGGGTCATACATTATTCATAACAGCAGCAAAACTACAGTTATGAAGTGGCAAGGAAATAATTTCATAGTTTGGGGGGGGTCGCCACAACATGAGGGGCTGTATTAAAGGTCGCAGCATTCAGAAGGCTTTCAGCCCTGGGTTGGTGGTCCTGGGTACCATAAGAAAGCAGCTGAGCAAGCCAGAAAGCAGCATCCCTCCGTGGCTTTGGCAGCAGTCACTTCCACTATCTAGGTTCTTGTCCTGATGGAGAGTGACCTGACAGATTGTAACTTGGGACCTTTCTTTCCCAAGTTGCTTTTGGTCACAGCTTTTTAATCACAGCAACAGACGCCCTAACTAAAACACATGCCGAGTTTGAGAAATCAAGTGTCCAGAAGACAGAGAGCCTGTGATAGCAGGAACTGTGGCCCTGGCTAGTTCTGGGCTTTCTGAGTTTCAGAGCTGTGTCTACCTAACGGTGAGCTGAGCCTGGCAGCAGTTCAAACTCTGTGAACCAGGGTTTTGCTGCTTCTCCACATGGGCCTTGAGAACTGTGGCTCAACTGACCCATTTCAGGTCTGGAGGGGGTTGGGGGTGGGGGTCTTGTGGCTTCAGAAAAGATAGACAAGTTCTGATCCATGCTTGATCTGAGGATCTTTAACTGACACCTTCCAAAACAGTGGTGAGCCCTCTGCTCCCTAAAGTGAGCCACCAGCCCTCAGACATTGGGGCGTTACCATATTTCACATCAGTTATAGAACTCACCAAGTGCTGCAGGTTTTGTCAAGCCTGGTGAGAAGATGGTGTGAAACTGGGGGGGGAGGGGTAGAGAGTGCTTTGTCTGGACACCAGGGAAAGCTTAGTCCCTCGCTTCCCAGTCTCCCCTCTATATGGCAAAAACCACAGCTAGGGAACTATGCGTAAGAAAGGAGCCAAGGCATGTGATTATTAGTTAGCCAGGAGGTTAAACTGCACTTGTATCAAATCTTGGGAGGAGGTGACTGTGTGGGTCACCTGTTTCTTTTCCTTTTTCCCAGCTAGGGCTTACTAACTTCAATCACAGTATCTGCCCCTCCACAACCCGAACTCAGTTTAATGCTTATAACTCTAAAGAAGGAAGTACATTCCTTCCAACTGGGGAACAAACAGTCAGCAGGGATGGAACTATTTGTATATCTCAGTTCCCAGTTCCAGAAAACAGACCACTCTGTGTGCTACAGTATGATCAAGAATTGCCAGGTCTGCTCTCTACGGCTACAGATGTGGAATGAAAGAAAGGGATTTATTTATATAGCGTCTAACAGAGACCTCAGGCCACAGACCGTTATTGCACAGCCTCTGGCAGCTCCCGCCATCAGTGTTTTGGTGAAGAAACATATTGGAATAAAATCCCACCCAACTGAGCCTTTAACATTTTGACATTCAATCATTTTCTTCTCCTTGGTAACTTAGAAACGCAGTTGTTACGTCAGTCCTGGGACAGATGGTCTGCTCCTCTTCTTAGATCTGAGAATGGTTTTCGATTTTCTCATGGTGGTTATTTTCCTCCACTTCTGAGGCATATTGTAGCCTGACTTGGGACAGAACACCTAAGGGAGAGACGCCTCTCCCCTGACCCCATTTTCCATTTAAATAGATTTACATTGAAAATATTCTCAAAGTTTTAGTTCTTGGTTTTATCAAATTACCATCTGTTTTGTTAACCCTGCCTTTTCTCATTATAAACAGCATGTTGTAAGTGGGGTATTTCCTTTTTACTCTTAGGTTTGATAATAATGCATAAAGTGATTTTTTTTTTTTTTTTTTTTGCTTTTGTTTTTGTTTTTCCGAGACAGGGTTTCTCTGTGTAGCTTTGGAGCCTGTCCTGGAACTAGCTCTGTAGACCAGGCTGGCCTTGAACTCAGCAGAGATCCGCTTGCCTCTGCCTCCCAAGTGCTGGCATCAAAGGCGTGTGCTGCCAGCATCCGGCTTTGTTTTGATCTTTTTAAGCAGTTTGATTTCTTGTTCTTGGTAGGGACATAGCTGGCCTTCTGATTAAGTTGTTATAATTTATGCTAAACTACAACATGCATTCATCACCTTGCGCCTGGCTGTGTGGTCGGAACAATAAGAGTTCACTGAGGAGTTGTCTCCCTTGTGGTATTTGAGGTATTTGAGAGGACGAGGGCCTTCGCCAGCGTCTGGAGCTAATATTTCTCCACTCTTCTCTTCCCTTTTCTCCTACTCACTCATTTCTTTTTGCCTTTGTCATCACTTTTTCCAGATGGTCTAGGTGACTGGAAAAGAAACTCAGTTCTTGGATGACCTCAGACATGGACACAGTTCTAAGACATACATACATACATACATACATACATAGATGAGCCATAGTTCTCCGTCTCTCCCCTGTAGAACTCATCTCTCCTCTGCTCCAAAAGGCCGGCTGACCCTAAAATCACACAGGACAGTAATTGTTCTTATTGCGATGGCTAACTAATGACATTACATATAAAGGGCACAGCCATTAATTATGGGAAAGCTTGATTTGAGGGAGCTGTGCCATGGCATAACCCCAATAAAGGTTGGAACTTTGTGGCAGTTGTGTACCAAGCACTTTCCATTTGAACTCTCGTTTAACCTTTACAACGACATAGCAGGAGTATGATGCACTCACTTCCCATCAGATATCTTTGTATCAAAGCTGTCATTGTGTGTCAAATGGAATTTCCTCGTCCTGAGTCTTCATCACGTTATTAGAACATTGTGCTGACTTCCGACACACATACCTGATCTTTGAAGATAATCATAGGACTGGTTGTCAGGTGTCACACAGGTATACATGTGAGTTAGTTAGTGAAAGGAATGCTAAGCTCTTAGTGGGGTCAGCTCACCAGTGTCTTCTGGGTGGGATAATTGGAATCCAAGTACTCTTTTCTGGTCATATATACTCACTTCTGGTCCTGTCCCATAGTAATGTCATAGAGCGCTCGCTTCTATTGCAATGCCTGATTAGTAGTTCACATCTTTGTTTTCTGCAAAATTATAGGCCATTTAGTTTAATCAAAAGATGTTTCTGTAGTTATGAAAAGTGTGAGGACCAGTGTCTTCCTGTCACTGTGATAAAACACCACAGCCAAGACAGCTAATGTACAGAGAGTTTATTTGTGCTGATGGTTTCGGAGGTTGGGAGTCTATTGTGTCTGGGAAGTGTGGGATCAGGCAGCAGGCAATGACGGCTGGAGAGAAGAAGATCAGGGCTCTCATCTTAATCCTCAAGCAGGAAACAGGAAAAGCAAACAAGTGGCTTAAGTCTTTAAGCTCTCAAAACCTACTTCCAGTGACATACTTCCTCCAGAAGGCCACACCCTGGACCTCCCAAAACAGCCACTAACCGGGGTCCAAGAATTCCAGAGACTTTGGAAGATACTTGTTATCCAAACCTTCATGCCTACTGACTTAGAGATTGCTCTGTCTGTCATTATGTGATTGTTGAAGCATTTAATAATGTCTTCACTGGTGGCGTCCATCGTCCATGCCTCTCTTCACCAGTGACATTACCTCATTGCACACTGCTGATCAGGAGCCCCGAAGGGGATATCCATGATAGATGTGCTCACGTAAGGATAAAACCCACAAAAGAAACTGGTTTTGATCCTTGTCTGGATCTTTGCAGCTCATGCATTGTACAAATGCTCAGTTATATCAGTAGGAGAAAACGTAACAGCCCCTGGACAACACATTCAATCTAGAGTTAGCTGTCACAGTTGGAAATCTCTTCCCTGGAAGTTAAAATAGCCTATAAATTTGACACCATAGTATGGTATCAGATAATGGCATTTAGACATTGTAGTTTCATCTGTGGCTGATTAACTCTACCCATACCTGGGATATTTTTTATATATATCCTTGCTGATTGGGAAACACAAAATTTAGAGGGGGGAAAAAAACCTTAAAATTAGGAAAACCAAGGTATCCATGTTGCTCCATCTTCCGTCAGTGTGGACCTGTGAGGGGTGATTTCACCTTGTCGTTTATTTACTTATGTAATTTTTTATGTATGAGTTCTCTGCCTGCATGCCAGAGGAGGGCATCAGACCCCACTATAGATGGTTGTGAGCCGCTCTATGCTGCTGGAAATTGAACTCAGGACTCTAGAAGAGCAGCCGGTGCTCGCATGTCTAATCTTAAGCCTCATGACTTTTTATTGAATGCTTGTGTCTGTATGTTGAAATGTGAAATGTGCGTGACCAAATTTTTTCCTTCCTTCCTTTCTGTGGGTTTGAGACAGGGTTTCTCTGTGGCTTTGGAGCCTGTCCTGGAACTCTGTAGACCAGGCTGGCTTCGAACTCACAGAGATCCACCTGTCTCTGCCTCCCGAGTGCTGGGATCAAAGGCGTGCGCCAGTACCGCCCAGCTTCTAAACTGCGATTTTTGTCTTCTCTGCCATTGTTACTAATTGTCACACTTTCTTGACTAAGAAACTTACCATAGTTAATGTAGTTAGTATGTGTCCTTTTGACATAATGATAGATACATTCAGAATCTCAGTGGTTTATGCTTTTCTTTAACCTTCCTCTTGGTGGTGCTGCTGTGCAGTACCGAGCTTTCACACTCTGCCTTGGAGCCACATTCTCTTCCCCCCTTGATGTTCCTTTCTGTTATCACTTTCTCCAACGCTGCTGGCTTCTGAACTAATTTGCATCAGTTAAAAGATTGTCTAGCCTGAAATTTTTGCCTCTTTACTGGTGCATTATTTGGTGAAGCTGTGAAAAAAAAGTGTTCCACCATCACATTAAGGGGGAGGAAAGAACAGGCGTGGAACAGGAAGCCCCTTTCGTATCTCAGGCCTTTCGTAGTTCGTTGCTAACTTGGAGTGGCTATAGTGTTAGTCACTGGAGGCTTTGGTTGCAGTGGTTGCAGATGGAGACCGTATTGGGGCTATCCAATCGCTTCTCTCCCACTGCTGCCTCCTAATCACTACAAGTAAGCAAATGAAGTGGAAAATGTCCCTCAGTTTACTACGTTTCTTTTGCTTTAACAGCCTCAGTAATAAACATTTTTCTAAACTTTCCTTAGTGCCCAACGTTCATGGAAAAAACAAGCCGTTGATCACTTACGTGGGGGATTCTACCGTCCTGAAGTGCGAATGTAAAGATGGTCTTCCTTTAAACTGGACTTGGTACACGAGTAATGGAAGTGTACAGGTAAGATCATATCGGCTGGGTCGGAGTGCTTGCCCTCTGAGCAGGGGGCCGGAGTGTGGATACCTTGTACCCACGTCAGAAGTGGACGTGCCTGTCAGCTGAGCGTTAGGGAGATGGAGACAGGACGATCCCAGAGGCTCGCTGAGCCAGACAGGCTAGTCTTGCCTGGAACTCCAGATTCAGTAGACTGTGTGTCTCTTATCAAAGTGGAAAAGAACTGAGGAAAGATGCTTGATGTGTATCTCCAGCCAAACATACATCACACATAAATGTGCTCAGACACCTACAGACGTGTGTACATGTGTATATACGCAGACGCCCACCAACACAGACATGTGTACATGTGTGTATATACAGACACCCACCCAACACAGACATGTATACATGTGTCTATTCAGACACCCAGCAGCACAGACATGTGTACATGTGTACATAAGCAGACACCCACCAACACAGACATGTGTACATGTGTACATACGCAGACACCCACCAACACAGATGTGTACATGTGTATATTCAGACACCCAGCAACAGACATGTATACATGTTGTGTACATAAACACCCCCCAACACAAACATGTGTACATGTATATATACGCAGACACCCCCCCAACACAAACATGTATACTTGTGTATATACACAGACACCCATCCAGACATGTATACTTGTGTATATACACAATAAACCTTTTTTCTCTGATTTGAAGAAAACAAAACAAAAAACCTTTTAGTTCATAAATAAGATTATAGCTGACTCAAAATTCCTAGGGTGACTAACACTTCTGTTACAATGTATAATTAACAAGAGCACACAGTGACAAATGGAGATGCCACTGGATATGTGTGAAGAAGCTCTTTAGTGTCCTACTGGGCCACCAACTTATTTAAATTCTTTGAAAGAAAATCAAAATTCATTTTCAGGATGGCCATGAAGGTGTGTGCCTGTAATCTCAGTACCAAGGAAACTGAGACAGGAGGATTGCCGTGTGTTTGAGGCAAACCTGAATCAAAGGGATGGTGCCAGGTAAAGCCAGATTAGCCAAGGCTACGTGGCATATCTGCTACAAAGCAAAATTAAAAACCAAAAGAGAGAATTTTACCTGGTTAATGGTATGTGCTGTAATCCCAGACCTGGGAAGCTGAAGCAGGGTCATCGTTGTCTTTTCAAGGCATGAATAGAGGTTTTGGTGTTACCCCAGACTACATAATGAGGCAAAACCAAAACATTTTTAAATGATCAGGTTACAAATAATTTCATCAGAAAAGCCTCGCTTCTGCTGGTTGCCAGTGACTAGGAAAACAAGAAAACAAAATCCCAGGCTCTTTTTCAGGTCTGTCTCCTGAAATATCTGATACGGGGTACAATGTATTGGCACCATTTGAAAACAGTGAATGGAAATTTGCTTGCTTAAACTTGGGTCTTGTTTTTGTTAAATGTCATTAGCTCTTTGGGGTATTTTGCACATTGGTAAGAAGTGAATCGCAAGGCTTATATGCCTAAGACATTTGGTTTCCTAGAGCTGATATGAAGAAAGCAAGAGTGTTCAATGGGTAAATTATCACTAACTTCCTGTCCTTTCCCAGATAGCATCAAAGAGCTTGAAACTTGGGGCATGGTGGTGTGGGGTACCCTTTTTATTGCCTCCTTGTTACTGAGTGTTCAAATTAAAGTCCTGTTGAAGAAAGGCTGTATACATGAAACAGAACAACCCTTTCAATGAGTTATTAATTTGCAGCCGAAACAAAGTTGGTGCTTTGGTGAGCTATTGAGGGAGGAAAGAAGGGTCTATTTCTGTGATAATATTGTTTTAATATTTCAAGGATAGCTCTAGATCATTCAAGGCTCAACTTAAACAATGAATCCTCTCTGCCCTTTGTCTTCTTGATGAGTAGGACAGGTATCTACAAATGTTTCCGAAATAATGGATTGTCAAAACAAATACCAGTTGTGATGTTTGGAACACATAGCTTAATTTATTCATGCATGTGTGTTAGCAAGCAGACTAGAGCCCAAGTCAGCTTATGTTAAAGTTGTTTTCTGTGTGCGTCATGATTCTCTCATCATTTGGCATCGAGTCTGGTCATAATCAGCTGTGAGACAGGGCCAGGGAACGGGTCACAGGTCAACCAACATTTTAGGTCAAGTACCATTTCAAAATGGAAGTCATCGTCTGTATCTCAATTGGCCTGTATTTTCTTAATAATTCAGCCCTTTGATTTATTGCCTTTAACTCATAGGGAAGTTGGTGTAGTGAATATTACAGGCTGGGCTGCCTGTGGACATAGAAATAGGTCACGGCCATGTTGTGCCCTCCCCCCCAATACATTTGCTGAGAATTCTTCCTGGGATAACGTGAGAACATTTGTATGCAGAGTAGCATTTATTGAGCATCGGTCGAGTGGTAGATCAGTGTAGGTGTCAAATGTCTTGAGACTTTAATTTAGGTTAAGTGTAACAGCTTCCAAGTATGTATGGCTTTATGAGCCTGAGGAAAACGCAGCAGCTCCCAGGAGCCCATCTTCTGGGGCATGAAAGGAAGGTGCAGGGGTCTAGGACGAGGGAGCTGGTCATTGGGAGGTCATCAGCTAAGAAGCCTTTAAGATTTCAGCTGCAGCTTCAGAGTAGGGAACTCACGCTGTCAGGTTAGTGGTCCATTGTCAGGAGTGACCAGAATAATATCCTCAGAGGTGTTTTGTTTCCTTTTGTGCCTGTGTCTACTTGTGGAGAGCTACTCATACGTGAGAAAGGAAAGCAAGAAGACAGGAAATTTTCTGCCTTGAATTCTTACTTAATATTCGCTGATGATGACCTATTTGTAGGTTCAGACATTCAGGGCTAAGTCCTCACAGTGGAGTAAACATTTTCCCTTGCTTGTTACTGGAATATCAACCTTCTACAATTGACTCATAAATTTTAATATGCCCCTTTCCAGTAAGTGGTTTCCTTGGCTCCGTCTTAATAGCTCTGCCCAGAATTAGATCTCATGGGACATGCATCTCTGCATTATGTAAGGATTTTAATGTCTCCTTGCATTAGGTTCCTATTGATGTTCACAAGAATGATAAGTATGTTATAAACAGCTCCTATGCTAATGAAACACGACTCAGGGTAAAGCATCTCTTGGAGGAAGATGGAGGCTCCTACTGGTGCCGGGCAGTCTTCCCGCTGGGTGAGAGTGAGGAACACGTCGAGCTGGTTGTGCTGAGCTTCATGGTACCCCTGAAGCCATTTCTCGCGATAATTGCGGAAGTTGTTCTCTTAGTGGCTATCATTCTGCTTTGTGAAGTGTACACCCAGAAGAAAAAGAGCGACACAGGTGAGATTTCTTACGTCTTTCTATTACATTATCGCTTAGTCACTCGCAAGTTTGGGGAAGGGCTGGGAAGAAAGATGGCTCATCGAGTAAAAAGCATTTGTTGCACAAGTGTGAGGAACTCCAGAGCCCTTGTAAGAAGCCAGGTGCCTAGCATGAACATCTGAAATCTTCTGTGTAAAGGAGGAAGGTAAAGGCGGCAGATCCCTGGAGGCTTGGAGGTCAACCGGCTTGCCATAGTCAGTGGAAAAGAGCAGAAAGATCCTATCAAGGGAGAAGTCAAAGACTGACCGACACCTGAGATCATACTGTGTGACCTTCACACCCAGGCTGTGGTGTGCACACAGGCATTCACACACGTAAAGGTGCACATAACAAATACACACATGCATGCACACAGAATAAGTAAAGAAACGCAGTTTGTCATATTTGGAATAGTATTTATATTTGTAACTGTAATGGTAATGGCCTATGAGCCGGGATTCTTGGTCTTTTGTTTCATCTGCCTGAAAAACATTTGTGTTAGAAGTATTTCTTCTCTTGATGCCACTATGCATCAGTTCAGAAATGTGTGTTAACATTGGAATATTAGGGAAAACACATATTTCTTAATATAAATTATCTCGGATTTTTTTTCCATTTAAGTAATCCATTTTAATCACTTGTCTTGAGGGGGTGGTGTGTGTGTGTGCGCATGTGTGTGTATGTGCGTATGTACATGTGGTGTGTGTGTATGTGTATGTGTGCGTGCATGTGTACGTGTGGTATGTGTATGTGCGTGTGGTGTGCGTGTGTATGTGTGTGTGCATGCGTATGTGTGCACATGCGTGCTTGCACGCATGCGTACGCATTTAGAGGTCACAGCAAAATCTTGAGTGTCATCCTGAGAAATGCTGTACACTCCTTTATGATGTATGATCCTTTCGTGGCTTGGTGCTCACCAGTTAGGCTAGACTGGCAGCCACCGAGTCCCATGGAAGCTCTCCTTTCCCTCTGCCTGCCTGGCATAATAAATGTGCACCACCACGCCTGGCCTTTCATGTGGGTTCTGGTAATTGAGCTTTGGGCCTCAATTCTTCTGCAGCAAGCACTGCTTGACTAAGCTCTCTCTCCTTCTCCACCTAAAAGGTTTTTATCAAGTATCCTAGGTCCTCATAAAGTCCAGTTTGCATTAGTATTGTTTTAAACCCATGTCTGTTGGGCTATTGGATGAGAAACCCTACAGAAATTGTGCCATTGTCTTAGTTAGGGTTTCTATTACTGTGACAAAAACACCATGACCAAAGAGCAAGCTGGGGAGGAAAGGGTTTATATGACTTACACTTCCAGATCACATAGTCATTGGAGGAAGTCGGGACAGGAACCCAAGCAGAGCAGGAACCTGGAGGCAGGATCTGATGCAGAGAGAGGGGTGCTTCCCCTGGCTTGCTCAGCCTGCTTTCTTCTAGAACCCAGGAACACCAGCCCAGGGATGACATCACCCACAATGGGCCGGACCCTCCCCCATTGATCACATTGAGGAAATGCCTTAGAGCTGGATCTCATGGAGGCATTTCCTCAGCTGAGGCTCTTACTCTCTGATGACTCTGACTTGTCTCAAGTTAACACACGAAACCAGCCAGTACACTATTCTGTATTCTTTTCTGATTTCCATACTTTGGTTTTATACTTAAATGGCATCATAGTTTTGAAAAAGATCCCAGTGTGTCAAACCGTTCTGATCAGAGAAGAGTCTGGCATCCTGTAAGTGGCAGCCGAGGGAGGCACAGATATTAAAGGTGGCGCTTCTCTCCTGTTCATGGGGAATTTAGGGAGTAGGTTGAATTGAACATGTAAACAAACATAGCATTACAGGCTTTATTGTGAAGATCCCTTTTCTTTGTCTTTATACAGATAATGGGAAAGAATTTGAACAAATTGAACAGCTGTAAGTATTTTTTATATTTTTTATTTTTTTCTCTCACTTGGGTAAAATGCAGCTAAGTATGAAATTAAGTGAGATGTTTGCAATTAGAAACAAGAAAAACCTCCAGGCCAGCCTGGTCTACAGAGCGAGTTCCAGGAGAGGCTCCAAAGCAATACAGAGAAACCCTGTCTCAAAAAAAACAAAAAAAAAGAAAGAAAGGAAGAAAAGAAACAAGAAGGAAGGAAGGAAGGAAGGAAGGGAGACCACAAGAACAGGGAGATGTGCTTTTTGTTTTCTGGATACATCTGTGTGGTGATGCAGTGTGGTACCCAGAGTTTGCTCCTCCATCAATAACTGTTCTGTGCTTCTTTCTGGTTTCATCTCTGCAACGTGGGTTCATCGTGGCGCTCCTACACACATTTGTTGACTTAGTGATACTTGATATGTGTGAATTCCTGGCACAGACTTTGGTACATAGTAACCAGATGTATACATTTATTTAGACGATTCTTTTTAACCTTGCTTGTATTTTTGATGGCTGATGTGGCTTCTTAGGTGTACAGTGTTCTTGAGGCCAGAGAGATGGCTTCGTGGTTTAGAGCATTGGATGCTCTTCTAGAGGACATGGATGGGTTCAGTTTCTGGCAGCCACATGGCAGCTCACAGCAGTCTATACCAACAGTCACAGATGTGCTCTCTGCCTTATGGAGGCATGTGTACATGTGTGGCACACATACGGGCAGGTAAAAGATCCATACAAGGAAAAATGGAAAAAGAAAAAAAAGATTACAATGTTCAGGCCTCACTAGATTCCCCCAGATCAGAACCGCTTAGGTTGGGACTAGGCATCTGAATTTTCTAAATACATCTTCAAGCGGTTCTGCTGCTTTCACGATGAAAATTGCTCGCCTAGGATTCTATGAGAATTACTTTTGAGGGAACTCCTTTTTGTTCTCTTAGAGATCTCTTTAGAGCACGAAGCTAGCTGGAAATAAAATGGCCAGGGATCTACTTAGGTTTGGGGATGGTGGAACGCTTCTTGGGTTTGGAAGAAGCGTTCTACCATCCCCAAACCTAAGTAGATCAGGTCTCCCTTTGCTTGGATCAAGCAAGCCTTTGTTACCAGACCCATGGCAGTAGCCACGGCATAAGATCAGCATCACGAGTAGATATGAGGAAGGATGAATTCAGTGTGTACTGACATTTTAAGAGTTCACATCCAGCAATCGAGTAAATATTACATTGACTTAATTTTATGCGTCATGAACATCTGGTAATTGCCCTTTTATTTTTGACACAGGAAATCTGATGATAGCAACGGTATAGAGAACAATGCCCCCAGGCTCAGAAAAACTGTAAGTTACTTAAATTATAGGGAAAGGTGAACTTCAATATACCAGGCTATTGAACCTTACACTTCATCAGATTCATGAAAGACCTCGTTCACTGTGCACTTGTTTACACAGTAATAGGAAAAAATATGGACTTATAAAATTAATGGTGTCCTTTTCTACAGAGAATAGGTGGTAATTCTTGCATCTCTGGGTCCTGGAATTACAGGATTGTAACACCATTCTCTTTATTTCACGAGTCTTTATATTTATGTAAATACATAAGTAATATACACATAACACAATATAATACACATGTAATATATAATACACATTTATATGAATAAATATATGCATATATGAATATACATATGTATGTATTTTATTACCTTGGGTTAGTTTCTTTTAAGGCTTTCATGTAATTTTTAAATCCTCAACTCATCCTTTCTGTGTCCTTTGATTTTATTCTCATACTTCCTTATAGCCGATGCAATGAATTCATCCATCATAGTTCATTCCCGTATTGATTCATAATTGTCAGTGTTAGAGAGAACTTGCTTTGCTAGTAGATAGCAAGCTCGCTTTCTATCACTCCTTTGCTTTAAGTTATTATAGACCAGCATGGCAGTAATTGATTCATTTCTGTTTTGTTTACCCCAGGAGTCGACGGAATAAAAAAGTGAATAAAAAAGAACGTTTCACATTGAGAAGACATGCAACCAGTTTGTATTTCAGCTTCCTTTCAAGAACATGTAAACTTTAGTTTAAAAAAAAAAAAGACAAAAAGACTTCCTCAACACGCACAACAGTAGCTTTATAAACAATATAGGTTTATCTCTTACCTAAAAGATGTATTTTAATTTTGTAATTGCTTTTCATTAAAGCAAGTTTCAAATGTGTTCTGTGAGCCGTAACGTAGATAAATCAATTTTATCCTGGTCTGAGAGATCAGGGGCAGAGAACAGACACCAGCAAAATCAGTCAGTAATCCACAAATAATTACCACTAAAGACCTGTTCATTACCAAAGAATTTATGGAAGAGGAAGCTCAGCCGGTTGTGTTAAAAGTGTTTCCCCCAAATCGTGCATACCTACCCGTAGACATATTTATAACAGTTTTTATGTGAAGTGTATCCTTCTGTGGTACTGAAAGTGTTTGCTAAGAAATAGAAACTATGCTTTCGATAATGGCGGCTACTCTGCAGTCTCTGTGCTAAGATATGGTTTTGCTTCATAAATGATGGTGTGAAATGAGGGAATGCAGACCATAATGCTTGCCCACAGCCAGTATCAACACCGGGGCCTCGCTTCATTCACATCTTTATCACACTCATTACCGCCTTTTCTGCTCAAAGCCAAAGTGCTCCTTGGTCTCACGTAGGACATTTTCCTTGTTCTTCTTTGCTCTGGGCCTCCTGGTGTTGATGTTTCAGAGTGTAGTTCCCTGTGTCCACAGTGTGACACCGCTATCCACGTGCCTTTGTAGCTCATGGTTTCTGGGTGTCTTTATTTGCTGCCTGGTTTCTGTTGCCATAGCTGTGTAAATGTATAGAAATGCATTATTGTTTTCTTCTGACTAATAGTCAGGGGTACTAGTGTATGTTTTTTTTGTTTTTGTTTTTTTTTTTTTTAAGTTGCTGCAAATGCCTTAGGGACTCAACTTTAAAATGGAAGGATTTCATTACAGACATGACTGAGATGTTTTACAAACTCAATACAAACAAATCAGTACAACTTCGAATGGACGTAGGCAGTTGTCAGTGGCTTTACATGAAATAAAAAAGAAGTAGTAGTAGATTGATTAGGTGTCCCTGGTGCTTCAAGGTTCTCTGGACACACTGCTTCCTGAGAACAGGGTTAAGGACAATGAGAAAGAGGGACCAACTTGGGGTGGAAGGAAGAGAGATCCATGGTTCTTGGGGACTGAGGGGTTGGAGGTTGTGTAAAAAGAATCCACTGATTAACAATGGCAACTAGAAGTGTATGCCTTGTGCACTAAGGAAAGTATCAAATTCGGGTAGGGACAATTCTGTAATATCTCACTGATGTTTACCAGTATTACTAGCTAAAATAGTACATGTAAAATAGTTATGGCAGCTGCTTTCTGTTTTGCTGATGCGACAAAATTCAGTGTTTTCTAATACATGTTAAATGCACATGTAGATTTTACTGAACTGGAATGCACCTCTTGGTAGTAGATGTCCTGTTTTTTCCCCCTTGGTCTCATTTAACCACACATTTGTTTTGCTTTAATTCGTGCTTAATTTGACAAGATCATCTTGATGAGCTCATGGCAACCAGTATAATCAGTGTAAACATTTTTTAATTCAAAGAGCAAGTCCCACTAAAAACAGTGTAACTGTGATTGGATACATTCAAAACCCCAACAAGTAACTTTGTTTGCAAGATTCATCCATTTGCTTTGCTACCAATAACTATGTTTTCATGGAAAAAAAAAAAAAAAGATGCTACCCAAAGGTAAAATAGTTTGAAATGCTTATATAATACATGGAAATGTTAATGGGCAATGTGTGCTAGTTATTTTTCTAATGAAGATGAGTTCTCTCAGTAACTTTAGGTAGAAAAAGTTCTCAAATATTTAAGTTGATTCTTGGCAGTTCAGGGTCTCTCTAGATTAAACAAAACAACTAACACAGGAAAACTACCCTGCCTTTATATAGTAGACACCTGGGAAATTCTATTCATCGTTGCAGTTGAGGGGTCTTCAACATAATAATTAGATGTAATGATGCCATAAAATTTCCAGATAATCTTAATTTTAGTTTACATTAAAATGTTTCCTTTTGCAAATTTTCTCTTTGTCATAGCTAGTCCTTCAGGCTCAAGCCTGAAGTTGTTTTATTTTTTTCTTTGTTGGTTAGGAATCCCTCTTTATTCCTCAGTCTGTTGTTAATCCACCCCCACCTCACCTTCACCATCTGCAAGGTTATGGTGTAGGATTCCCTGCCTGGCTTCATTGTCCATCTCCCCATTTTTCACGGTGCTTCTCAGCCTTCTTAAAACACAAAGATCTCATGTGATGGATGTGTCAGGTTTCAGGCCAAACCTCATTGCACGTCACCTAGTTATCAATCTCCCTCTAGTGTCTTGGGTTAGTTCAGAATGTGTCTCTGATGCCCCCCCCCCCAATCCCTCTAACTCAATATTAGCCTTCAGTGTGTTAAGGTTTAGGGGAAACTCTCATATCAGTGGGGTAGGGACCATCTCATGGGCTCACAACTCCATGTTTATTTGTGCTTGGTTTCCTGCTTGGATTCTGCCTTCTAGTTCTGTGCCCTGTGTTTAGTACAGGGAGAATGTTATAGGTGGTGTAAAAAAATGTGTATGCCTATTTTTAGAAAGCCAGTTTTAATTATGACACGTAGAATTGCAAAAGGAAATGTATAGGAAAGCAGGTTGTATAAATCCTTCAACTGTTGTACAGGGTACATCACACCTGTTCTGGTGGGTTTTAACTCCCACCCGCCACCCTTAAAACCCCATTGTCAGTATGCAAAAAGACCTACATTTTTTCCCTTTATTTAATAAGGTGGTAACACTTGGCTCTAATTATACAGGGTTTTTAGTGATTATATTCCTTTGTACGACACAGAGGTGGCATTTATGCTCATCCCACGAACTTACCCATTCCACTCTGCCAAGTTTTGAACATCTCAGAATTCACAGTAACAGCAGCATGTTACAAAAAGAGTTCTTTGTTACATCTTGGACATACTTTGTTACTACATACTTTCTTGAAATGGATCAAAATAAGGACTAGAAAAAGCAAGCCCTGTCTTTTTCTACCTATTTGTTTCTGGTCCTCATTTTCGAGGCCCTTAGTTTTTCTTTCGAGTTATTTTGCTACCTGTTACACTTCCCCCATATGAAAAATGGACCTTTGTCATTAAGTAAATCCAGGCAAAGAATTAGAGAATTCCCTGTGAGGGGTTGGGCTCGAGCTCTGGTATTAAATAGAATGTCGTGGTGTACTATGCAGTGAGATATGGTTTTTCTTCTTTTGCACTGAGAGATTTATTGAATGGTTGAAAGTAGAAGAAAGGCTTGACTACTTTGGAATTCTAAGTTACAATACTTATGGACAGCTTATTAACCCTTGAGATCATCCTAGTCTGCCATAGCGAGAAAGACAACTAACTGACGTGTGTGTTGGGTCTGATAGTGGCTTGTTTTGTTTACCAGTCAATCCCCCGATTAGGGAAATCGTCCCATTTAGTTTATTTAATACTAGCACTGGCACATTCCAGGCACTCATTTTAACACATGCTGTGTTCTGTTTGATCATCAATCCATCTCATGTCATAAAAACAGTCCTCTATCTTTTTAAAAATCAATTTAATCAATGCACAAATTTAAGGTCAGAGACCTTAAGAAAACCATACAATGTCCCCCACCCCCATGCACATGATTCATCCTTAGCTGACTTGACCTACTTTGTTCCATAGTTCTGAATGCTGGCTAGGAAATGGTCATTATCAGTTATCCTTATTTTTTGTTGCTTGTTTTTTGAGACAGGGTTTCTCTGAGTAGCTTTGGAACCTATCCTGGAACTCTCTCTGTAGACCAGACTGGTCTTAAACTCATAGAGATCCATCTGCCTCTGCTTCCTCAGTGCTGGGATTAAAGGTGTGAGCCACCACCTCCGAGCTCTTTGTTCTTTTAATTTCACTCATAGCACAAGATCCATAATCTTACTGTAGTTGGGACCCACACTTTGCTGGTCTCGAGTCTCCGTACCAGTGCATCGACGCATATTTAAGACCTTTTTCCTGGTTGTGTTTGTCGGTAGTGAGAATGACCATAAAACATACCATCCAGACACTGAAAACAAAAAGGCTGTACTGTGTGACTTCACCAAGACCTGTAGAAACCAGGCCCTGTGGTCTCACACTTAGCCCCTGGGGAGGAAGAGGCTGCTCTGTGTGTGTTCTGTCCTGGAGGCAGCAGCCCACTGGAATGATTGACAGAAATTACCTTTCAAGGAAGTAGCCAATTTTAGCTAATGCAGGGAAATCGCCATTTTCAGTAAATGTCAGTTGAGTGCTACCGTGGAGAAGTACCTATAATGGGGCCATTTACACAGCTTAAAGTTTTGTGTCTTAGTATGACTGCTTTGTTGGGTTCTGAAGACGGATAAACGGGCTGTGAGAGAAGTTTGCTTCTGGTGCCGTGTGGAGGAACTGGCCAGTTTCCTCGCATTTGTGCACCTCCTAGGTCGTGCGGTGTAGTAGCTGTGTTTGTGTGAGTCCAGTGAGTCAAGAATGGCAGATTATGCCTTTGTTACCAAATCTGCCTGTGAAATAATTGAAAGTCACACATAAGCAGAATGGATGTAAAGTACTTAGAGTCCCACAAATGACTTACAGTCTGGATTTCCCATTCCTTTGCTCTGCAGTGTGAATATGTTATGGAAACCTGTTTAGGCTATAGGTTAAAAGTGCTGTTTCTGTCCAGTATGTTCGGTTTTAAAGCTTTTTTTTTTAATGTGATTCTCATTTTAGAAAATTATCACATTTTCTAAAGCTTATTGATAATCATGAAAATAATAGATTGTTACAAATATAGTTAGCTGTGATGCTACTTAATGTTGCAGAAAGAATAGCTACTTATATTTTTTTACCTTTAAAAATAGATATTTGACCTTAAGTGTTTAGTTTTGCTTAAATCAAGGGCCATTGGTTTTATATATATTTTAATAGCTGCGTTTCTTTTACACGTGTGTTTAGATTCTCACCGCCAACTTTGTACAATATGTAACACCAAAAATGTCAGTACAGGAACACTGTAAAAATTTCCATGTTGCATATAGATTCAGCATACAGTTAAGTTCAATAAAGTGTTCTCAGTGGAAGATTTAAGTGTCGGGGAATCTATTTTG